TCATTCGATTACTCGGAGACCTCTTGGACCGTCTTGGGCGCCTCTTGGGGTCCACTTCCAATTGGAGCGCTCTGAGGCGCCTGAGAGCCGTGCCCAGGAGGAAAACCATCTCTGATCCGCACCGCCCGGGGACCGCCCGGGAACCTGCCAGGGTACTTTTTTCTTCGTGGGACCCCCAGGGGCGGCCCTGCGCGCGCGACTTAGAAATATTGTTGATCTGTTACCGGAGATCTTGGCACGCCTCTGGCCCGCTGGGTCGGCGAATTGGTGTGCCCCTGGGCTCCTTCAAAGAATCGGGGGTCCCCCAAACGGGTTGGTGACCACACCGTGCGGTGAGTCTGTTGGGATTCGGAATCACTGCACGGTTTTGGGACTCGGGTCGTTCTGCGAGGACGTCTTGGGCGACTGGGGCCTCCGAGGTCCCAAGACCGTGCGGTGACGGACCGTGCGGTGAGGTCTTGGGGGATTTCGAGGTCACCGCACGGTCTGTCACCGCACCGTTTCGGGACTCCAAAAAGAAGTTCTACCCGTGGGAGAGCGGGAGCTTTGCGATCCGCCCCCGCTCGGCCCAATTCCATGCGGCATTTTTTGTTCTGAGCGATGGTGGGCCCCAAGCAACAATACCCACCGGTCGTTGAACCTAGGTATGTCAGGAGTCCCAGATTCCAATCTCCTTCGCGCGCCTTCCTGCTTCAGTGGTCGAGTGGCTTCACCCTGTCCGGCCTCCTCGGAGGGCGGGCGGACGCCCGACCTGCTTCCAGCGCCTCCCTGCCTCACGCTTCTGCCTGCCTCTCCTGGCCGAGCGGCGATCACACGGGCCCCCCATGGGGCCCCGCTCGGCGGTGCTCGCTCCGTGGCGGGCGGGGTGCGCCGAGAGCGAGCTCCGAGCGGGGCCCCGGCCGAGCTTCCGGGGCCTGCCCCCGGGGGTGCTCGCCGCCGCGCCGCCGAGGCGGCGCGTGCCTGCGAGCGAGAGAGCGCTGCGGGGGGCGCCGGGCGTGCGAGGGAGGGGGGCCGTCTCGCCGCCGCGGCCGCGCGCCGCATCGCGCAGCTGCCACTGATCTCGAGGCGGGCTGTCCTCTGCAGGAGGAATCTTTTAAAACTGGTGTTTCTCTGCAGGGATCTGCAGGAGGAAATCTCGGGCCGGACGAAATGGGGGGATTGGGACAGGGGGGGTTACGAAATTTGCTGCATGCAGCTGGTTTCGGCCTCACCGAGGGGCCCATTTCTCGATACATAGCTCCCTCCGGCGCCGGGAGGCGCCGGGAAAATCAGCTACGTGAGCTGATTCTCAAACCCCCCCTTTGCTATCCCCCCCTTTCGCCCGACCCGAAAATCGTATGGGGACGATTCTTCTGTTGTGTTTGAACCGTGTGGGGCATTCGGGGGCTAGTTTTTGTTTTTCGCCGAAAATCCGCCAGCACTGGCGCCCGACCGTCCGAGGGGATCTGAGCTCTGGGACTGTTCCCCGGAGTCGAAGCAAGAATGAGCGACATGCACACAAACTTTTGGCGCTCCGCGCGGATTTCTTGGATGCGGGCTGGGCACACCCCTCGCGGCGCCTTCGGCGCCGCCCCTGGCGGCAGGGAGAGGGGGGGCGTCTGGCGCAGATCCAAGAGATCCGTGCGGAGCGCCAAAAGTTTATGCTTGTGGCGTGCGTCCTTCTTCAACGGGGGGCCCATCGAGTGCGTCGCTTCTGCATCCGCGTCTCCGTGCAGACATGCACAGGTTGTGTTGCCGGACGCGCCCTCGTTTGAGTTCTGGTGGGTTGCCCGGCTGGGGCGGCAGCGCCCGGGGGCACCAGCGGCTTCGCCGTTTGCTTTTCGTCCGCGAGGCAGGGAAAGCACGGTTGGTGTCAGTGCCAGCACGCAGCCACGCGCGGAGGCGGCAGGGGGAGGGAGGAGGGTCTCCTAGAAGGAGGCTGCTTCGTAGAAGGCGCGGGCCGTACCTATAGATGCAGGGCCGGCGCCTACAGAGAAGCAGCCTCCTTCTGAGACGCCCTCCCCCTCCCCCCGGCCTCCCCTGTGCGCGCGTGGCCAGCACCGGCTCGGCCAGAGCAGGAGCCTGATGCCGCGCGCGGCGTGCAGGTGTTCCAAGCTCCTGCGGCGCAGGGCGGTGCATCGTCTTCAAGAGGAGGAGGAGGAGGAGGAGGAGGAGGAGGAGCAGGAGGAGGAGGAGGAGGAGGAGGGGGAGGAGGAGGAGCTGGAAGACCACAGCGAACACCCACAGGCTGCGGGTGCTCGCTTTTGGTCTTCGTGCCCCTGCCCTGGGTGGTGGGCGGGGGCCCCGCGACTGGGCAAGCTAGCTGTGCCCCGCAGAAGGAGAGTGTGTCCACCTCCCTCCCTCTTTCTCGTCCTCCACCTTTTGACGCTGCTCGGACCTAGCGTGCTGGTACGATCCTCCTCCTCCTCCTCCTCCTCCTCCTCCTCCTCCTTGTCATCTCTCATCCGTCCTGGTCCTCCTCGCTGCTTCCGCCCCCTCCCGCTCGTTTTCCCTCTGCTTCCTGATCGCCGACCTCATCACCACCTCGGCCTCTCCCGTTCCTGATCATGGTGTTCCTTTGATGCGCATCATCGACGTCGTCGTCTCCGCACTCGTTCCTCATCCACCTCTTTCTTCGTTAGTCCACCCCTGCCATCCCCTCATTCCCACTCGCGCTCTTTCTCCTCAGGTCCTCCTACCTCCTCTTTTTCTTCTCCCCCTGGTCCCGTACACCCCTTGCTTATCCTAGTTATTTCCCTGGATTGTGCTCACTCTCCCTTCCTCTATCTCTCTCTCCCTCTCTCTCTCTCTCTCTCTCTCCCTCTTGTTTTTTCTCTTTCTCTCTCTCTCTCTCGCGCTTTCTCCCTCTCTCCCACTCTCTCTCTCTCTCTCGTTCTCTCTTTCTCTCTGTCTCCCCCCTCTGTCGCCTTGCCTCTCCCTCTCTGCCTCTTACTCCTCCCCGTTATGCTACTTCGCCTCGACGTCGCTGTCCTCCTCCTCATCCTCTTCCAGGTCCCGCCGTGGCGGTGGCGAGGGGGAATCCCTGTTGCCGCGCGAGAGGCGGCTGTCGGCGGCAGCAGGGGAGGCACGCCAGCGGAAAGCCGGCGTCTTCTTCCGCTGGATCTGGTTCATAGATCATGTGGCTCAGTCGGGTTCGAGGTCGGGGAGACGTAAGGCTCGAGTAGGCCGGAGTTCGGGTTTGCCGACGTTTTTTGACGGGCGCCTCCTGGATTTTGACGGTGCAGTCTTGGCGGGATGTGCGCAGCGGGGGCTGGCGTCCAATTTCGGATGGGGCCTCGACATTTTTACGATGGCCCCGTCAGGCCAAGCCGAGCTCCCCGTACCCGAGTCTTACGTCTCCCGGACAATGGCCCTGAGCTGCTCTTGCGAAGGCCTCCCAGGAGTTGCCTCCTGAGGGCTGGCGGCGCGTGCCCATCTCTCCCCTCAGCGGGGCAGGCTTCTGCCTGGAACGATGATGTATCTTATCGTATCATGTTGTGTCGTATCGAGGGGGTCCGCGGGCCTTGTCGGGCCGGGCGGGAACAGGGGGGAGGGGAGATAACATTGTTCCAGAGCGTTCCAGAACGCTCTCAGAGCGTTTCGGAACGCTTTACGAAGGCCGCGGCGCCCGATACGCCCTCCCGAATCGCCAGATTTCAGAGATTCCCGATTTGTCCTGGTCAGTTTGTCCTTGTCCTTGCCGCGTTTCAAGTGCGCCCTGTCCCCCTCTGGCCCCCCCCTCGCATGCCAGAACATTTCTGCGTGTCTGTGGCCTCGCGGGCAGGACCCCTGGGCCGCGACCCCCGTGAATGCGGGGCGTTGCCTCCCGGATGCCCCGTGCGGAACGTATCCGTGCGTTTCGGGCTGGTGGTAAGGGGGGGGGACCTCAGGGGGGGAGTAAAGAGAAGGACAGTAAAGGGGCTCTTTTCTTTGGGAGCCAGCAGGGGCCCAAAAGGGGCTCTGGAGTGGGGCTCTTTCCTTCACCCGCCCACCTAGGTCACTCCCCATCATCACCCGCCGGAGCCACGGCGTACGCGCGGGATCGCGTCCTGTCAACCAGACCGCGAGGACGCGGACACGAATACCTTCGCCACTCGCACCTTGCGCCCGTCCGTCCCCTTCCTTTGGTAGCAAATCACTGGAGTCTCGTGTGTCCTCGCAATTCCGTCGTGAGCATGCTATATGAGCGCGCACCAGCGTCTGGTAGACGAAGCGAAAGGGCCGACTTAGCGTCGATCAGCGTCGATGTAGCGTCGACCAGCGTCGATTAGCGTCTGTTAGCGTCGCTCAGCGTCGGTTCGCAAGAGCCAGCAATATGGCATGGGTCAGCGGCGAGCAAGGGGGGGAGCGAGAAAGAGCAGGCCTTCTCAGAAGGCGGTGGGACTTCTCAGAAGCCCTCGCGCCTCCTGGGAGGTTGTCCCTGCGCCTTCGGGGGCGGCCCAGCGAACTTCTCAGAAGGCTCGGGAGGACTGCCGCGAGCCCTCTGAGACGGCCCGCCCCTTCTCGTGTCTCTGCGCTTCCCAGATGGGGTCCGAGCAGATGGGGTGGGAGGTTCGCGCCGTATCGTCGATGCATCGGCGATGCGGCTCGATGCGGAGCCCGATTTCCTCTACGCCGACGGCGCCGATGCCTCGCCGACGTCGCCGGAGCATGGAGGATGCACCGGCGACGTATCGCCGATGCATCGCCGATGCGGCGCGATCCTTCGACCCCATCCACTCGGACCCGGTCTAGGAGGCCTCTGTGTTCCCCCCCGGGCTCGCCGCCGAATGGGAGGCTCTCACGAGTTTGCCACAGGTCCCTCCCCCCCCCGCCTGCCGCACTCGGCCGCCGTCGTCGAGGGCTGGAGGCCCTGAGGTCGGCGTCGTCGTCGTCGCCGCCGCCGCCGTCGTCGTCGTCGTCGTCGTCGTCGTCGTCGTCGTCGTCGTCGTCGTCGTCGTCGTCGTCGGCGTCGGCGTCGGCGTCGTCGTCGTTTCCCCCGCCAGCCGCCCGGCGCCGCCCCTGCCAGGCGCAGGACCTCGGCCGCGCGCCGCGCGGCGGCGCGCGGCGGCCGCGGCCCGAGCGCTCGGTCGCCAGGGGCGCCGCGGAGGCGCCCGTGCGGGCGGCTGCGCCAGCGGGGGGGGGAGAGGGAGGGGGGGGGCGAGGGGGCCTCGGCCTCCTCCCAGGGCGGCCTCCCTGCCCGCCGCCCTCCCCCTCTGCCTGCCTCCCCGCCCGCCTCCCCTCGTCGCCTCTCCCCCCCCCACCCACCCCTCCTCTCTCCGTGGCCCGTTGTGTGCTTCCCTCCCTCCCTCCCTGCCTCTCCCGCCTCCCTGCTGTCCTCCTCCCTCCCCCCCCCCCTTCCGTGGCCCTCCTGGCTCCAGCTCGGGTCGAGCTGCTGCTCCCTCCCTGCCTCCCCGCCTCCATCCTCCCTCTCTGGAGGGCGCCGGAGACGTGTCTGGGCGCCGACAAAGCCCCATGGGCAGAGGGGGCGGAGCGCGCGGCGAGGTGCGGCCCTGAGGGGGGGGGCCTGAGAAGATTGCGGGAGCCTTGCGAGGCAGCACTAGGTATTCCAGCACGCCTCAGCACGCCAGGGGGGCACCGTGGCGGATAACCAAGAGAGCCGCGCCTCTGGCTCCGCCCTGGGCCGCTCCGCGCGCCAAGAAGGGGGGTCCCGCGCCGATCCGAGAAGTCCGTGCAGAGCGCCGAGGGTTTGTGTTTGCGTATGTGGAGGCCTGTTTTCCGAAGGCCTTCAGGTGGGGTCCAGGAACTCGCCGCATCACCGATGCATCGACGATGCGGAGCCCGATTCCATCCACGCCGACGTCGCCGAAACATAGCCGGCGTCGTCGGTGCATCGCCGATGCATCGCCACTGTATCGCCGATGCATCGAGGTTGGGGCGCGACACTCCGACCCCATCTGCTCGGATTCCATCTGGGAGACCTCTCACGAGTGGGGGTGTGAAGAACGGTGCACCTCGTGTACATCGAAGGGGTTCTTAAGGGGCCCCCTGGGGCCCGCGAGGGGCGCGGAAGGTACACATTTTAAGACATTCGGCGACTCGATTCGTTCGACGAACGGGCCCCTGACTTCTCGACCACTTCCCCGGGACTGGTTCTTTATCTCGAATTTTTGTTGGCGGTCCCGAGGCCCGTCGAGGGCCTCGAGGAGCCCACCTCTTCGAAAGGAACCCTTCTCTAGTTTGTTCGAGACGGCGGCGCCCCCGTGTTTTCGTCGCTCCCCCACTTATCGACTGCACGAAAGAGTGACCTATCGCCAGACTGACCTTTGGTGCGGGCCCATTGGGGCCCCCCCCAATCGCTGAGCGCGATGCGATAGCAGCGGCCTGTGCGCTTTGGTTCGGTCCCCTCGAGCCCCCCAAAAGTCGAGCATCAAAGGTCACTCTTGCCCAGGGTCGCTCTTGACTTCTACATCGTCGTCGTTGGCGTCGGCGTCGGCGTCGTCGTCGTCGTCGTCGTCGTCGGCGTCGGCGTCGTCGTCGTCGTCGTCGTCGGCGTCGGCGTCGTCGTCGTCGTGGTCGTCATCGTCGTCGTCGGCGTTTTCGTTGGCGTCGTCGTCGTCGGCGTCGTCGTCGTCGTCGGTATCGGCGGCGTCGGCGGCGGCGGCGTCTAGCCGAACTCAGCAGCGCCTGCCGAGGCCGCCTGGTCTGAGCGCCTGGCGCCCGGCCGGGAGGCCGTGGAGGCGGCGGAGGCGCGGGGTTCGCCGCCGCAGAGGTCGGGGGGGCGCCTGGCCGAGGCCCTCCGCAGGCTCGGCCCCCAGCCGTGAGGCCCCCCCCCGCTCGCCTCGCTGCAGTCGGCGGCGAGGGAGGGGGGGAAGCGAGAAGGAGAAGTCATCGAGAGCACGATGGCGTGAGAAGTGGGGAGCGACCCGCGAGAAGTGAGGAGTGAGAAGAACCCCTGGCCCTGGGAACACGATGAAGGCGTGGCCCCACTGAGGTCCCCGTCCTTGCACCAATGGTAGCAGATATGGGCGGTTTGGCCTGATACATCTGCAGAAAAAAAGGCCCTCTAGGTCTAGTGTCCCTGGCCCTCCTCACTTAGGTCCCCTCCCAAAGGGTTAGGGGTTCTTTCTTGGATAATCAACAAAGGGGCCTTCGCAGATGGCGGCGGGGCTTCGCAGGAGCCCTCGCGCCCTCCGAGAGGCTTTCTCTGTGTCCTTGCGGGGTGGTTAGAACACTTGTCGGAATGCTGGGGCAGGGCTGGACCTAAACGGTGCTTTGGCGATTTCGTGGGCCGTTTTCGTTTCGATGTCGTTTTGACAACACGAAGGCAAACGAAAACAACACGAAAAAGAAACACACCGTTTAGGTTCAGCACTGGTTTTCTCTGTGTCTTCGCGGAAGGTTTCGAACACTTCTCGGAAGGCTGGGGAATTGCCCAGCCTTCCGAGAAGGCGCGCCCCATCCCACCTCCCCCCACGGGCTCGCCGCCGATCCAGGGCGTCGAACGACCAGCAGTGGCGAGGCGTCCTGGCTCGCCCATAGCCCTACTGAACAATGCTCTAAGAACCTTTTGGGGTTTCCACGCGATGTTCTTAGAACATGTCTGGTTTATATTGTTTTGTGTTAGCACATCGGGTCTATGTTCTAAGAACGTTGTTTTGTTCTTAGATTTTCTGGGTTGTAATAACATTCCGTGGTAGGACTATAGGAGTGCCGGAACGGTCGGCCCCTGCTCAACAGTTTCAGAGGAAGACAACGTAGGGTATTGCCGGACCGAAGTATATATGATCGAGGTCGGTTCGGGAAGGGTGCCCCAGTGTTCTTCGTGTCTGTTGGATGTTCTTGCGCATCCTGGGGAGGTACCCTTGGATGTTCTGTCTGTTTTGGCTGACCGACGGCCTCATGTTCTTGAAGGATGCTATTATGGCCCAGGTCCAGCTGTGCCGATACCGCTACCCTCGCCTCGTCGCCACCGCTGGATGCGCAGCCCAGGAGAGGTCCGCGGAGTAGCGGTATCGGTTTTGTCTGGTTTAACGGATGCTTATCCCCATCCCCGTACTCTGCTAGGTCCCCTCCATCTCAGCACCCGAGGCCCGAAGCAGACGGCCTGCATCCCCATCTGGGGGCGTCAATCGGCCGGTGGGTCCCAGGCCGCGCACGTGGGGACAGGGGCCGACAGAACGGTGCTCCGCAAGAGCCAGCCAGCCGTCGGAACGCAGCACGTTCACGGCACACAGGCGTGATTTTCTTCCGGAGGCCCGCGCGGAGTTCTCGGATCGACGTGTCGGGCCCTCCCCGGCGGCGGCGCGCGCTGCGCGCGCCGGGGAGGGGGTCGGGGGGTGGACAGAACCCCCACCCTGACACGTCGATTCGTGAATTGGCCGTTTTCGGTTCTCGAGAGGGCGCCGCGGCCGTCAGTTTCCAGGCTTGCGCCCGCCCGGTTTGGGCCCGAGGTCGTTCTCACTAAACCACGTTTTGCTCGAGGGGGTTCTGTCCATCCCCGAAAGGGGGTCTCGGTGCCCATCTGAGAGACCCGCGCGGACCTACCAGAAATTAGGCGTGCGGTGCGAGCCCTGGGGGGAATGCAGAGAAGGCGGGCCTCCGCAGAGGGCCCAGAAGGCTTCGTCCTGGCGGGCGAAGAGCGGTATGGCATAAACTTTTTCGCCCCGCAGGGGTATACGCGTTCCAGCCGCCCAGGGGCAGGCGCCCCCCGACAGCGAAACAGTTTATGTCATACCGTTCGTCGCCCGTGCACTTCTGGGCTTTCGCCGAAGACTCGAGTAGGGGATCGACTACAGAACTGGTTTACCCCCAAATTGATTATCTTGCCACATGTGCGGGGAAATGCGTAGAATGCTCGTCGGTCATTCCACGTAGCTCTCGCAGCTTCGACCAGAACATCCATCCTGGAGCAGGGCAATTCTGTACTCGACCCCCCACTCCACAAGACAGGGGCGGCTGCTCTCGGCAGGCCGGAGGGCGTCCCCGCCTTCCGAGAAGGCTCTGCAGCCTCTCGCTTCCCCCCCCCCCCGGGGTACGCGCCGCCGAGCTGCAGTGGGGCTTCGGCAGCAGAGCAGTGAGAGCCTCGTGGGCCCTCGCAGCGCCGTCTTCGAGATGCTCCAGCGTCGGTTCGCGTGAAGTGGGGCCTGTCCCTCCACAGGGGGGGGTGTCCCGCTGCAGGGAAAACGTCTGGGGACGATGCTTCGACTCTGTTTGACAATGTTCTGAGCAGTTGTTGATATCTTGTTGAATGTTTCGCCCAGCATCCGCCTGTAGGAGGACGTGCCCGACCTAATCGCAGTTCTGTCTTTCAGATGCTCTAGCGTCGATTAGCGTTTGGTAAAGGATGGCACAGCGCCGATTTAGCGTCGACCAGTGTCGATTTGGCGTCGGTCAGCGTCGACTTGCGCCATTTCGCAAGCGCCAGCAAGATAGTATATGGGAGGCTCCCATGAGTTGCTACCGAAAGCTGGCTGCAGGGGAGCATCGATTGCGAGGGGGGGCCGTCGCGCAGCATCGGCGTAACCCCGACATTATAATACTATGTGTGCGTCGCCCCTCCAGGGGCGACGCGCGCGCCGAGAAATCTCATAGTACAGGCTCCGTGGCGGGCGCTCTTTGGCCATGCCTCGCGGAAGCGATCGACTACAAGATGGTCGTCTTATACGTTCGGGTCGGACGCGCGCCTCCGACGAGGATACATCGTATTATTATGTCCTTGTGCGTCGCGCAACAGGGGGTCCTCATGCTGACCTTCCAGAGGGCTAGGAAATAGCACTCCGAACCGATAGACCTCTCTGGACGGCTGAAGATCTCGACTGGGATTTGGGTATCCAGGTCCAGGTGCTATTTTTGTAGCCCTCCTGGAATATCTGGGCACAGAAGGGTTAGGTCGGGCGTGTCCCTCTACAGGAGCAAATTGAAAAATAGTCTGGGGACGATTCTTCGATTGTTTAAACCATTGGGGTTATTTTAGAATTATTCACGCTTCGCGTATCCCCACCAGCCCATCTCAAAACAGCAACTCTAGCGAAGCATGCCGACAGTCGTGTTTTTCAGGCGTGTTTCCGCCTGCCCCCGCATATCTCCCCTGTTCCTCCTTCCTCCCGCCTCCTTGTACATCCTCCTTGTGGTGGGAGCGGGAGAAGGACGAGGCGGAGGAGGAGGGAGAGAAAGCGCTCCTCGTGGTTTGAGTCGTTCGGGCTTCTCGTCCTGGTGTGAGTCGTTCGGGCCCTTCTTCCTGGTGTGAGTCGTTCGGGCTCTTCGTGGTGTGAGTCGTTCGGGCTCTTCGTCCTGGTGTGAGTCGTTCGGGCTTCTCGTGGTGTGAGTTGTTCGGGCCCCTCGTCCTGGTGTGAGTCGTTCGGGCCCCTCCTCCTGCCCGTCCAGAAACGACGCCCAGGCGAGTAGAGGGTCGTCCTGATGGGCTTTTCGGCGTCTTGGGTGCCTCGGGGGGGGCCTCTTTGGGCCGTTTGGGATCCTCTTGGGGGTCTCCTGGGGGCCTCTTGGGGCCATCTTGGGGCCTCTTGGTGCCTCCTGGGCGCTTCTTGGGGCCATCTCGGAGGACATCGATCAAAGAAGAGGGGCACTTTAATTAGCGCTGCCCCCTCAGAAGGCCAACATGGGCCCAAAACCTTAGTAAAATCAATGATTCTGGCTTGAAAGAAGAGGGGGGCTTTAATTAGCGCTGCCCCCTCCGAAGGCCAAAATGGTGCCACCACCGAAGTAAAATCAATGATTTTGGCTTCGAAGAAGAGGGGAGCATTTTTCTGCCTCTCCCCGTCGGGGCCAGAATCCTAGTGAGGGGTGTCGATTTTTAGCCCTCCCAGGAGTCGAAAAAAGACCCCTCCAACCACCCGCGGGGCGCCCTCTCCAGGCCCAGGGGGAGGGGGGAGGGGGAGGGGTAAACCCCTCCCCGAAGGGGACGAAGGGGGGTTGAGAACAGAGCGGGCTCTCTAAACCACTCACGCCCAAAGGGTTGGTGGGATTCTTTTGATTATCTTGCACAGGGTGTCTAGAGCTCCGACCACTTGATTTCGGCGGCGTCGTCGTCGCTCCCCCCCAGCTGCCTTGTGCCCTTCATGTGTCGCTATATGTGTCGCTGTGTGCCTTGTGCCCTTCATGTGCCGCTATATGTGTCGCTGTGTGTCGCTGTGCGTCTCCATGTGTGCGTCGCCATGTGCCGCTGTGTGTCGCTATGCGTCGCTATGTGTGTGTCGATATATGTCTCTATATGTCGAAGTGTCGACATGTGTCGCTCTGTGTCGCTCCCCAGCACCCCAGCGCACCGCCCCCTCCGCCCCGACGGCTTTATTTCGGCGTCGTCGTCGCCCCCCCCCCTTCTCCTTCTCCTCAGCAGCCCAGCGCGCTGCCCCCCCCGCCCCTTCCACTCTATTTCGGCGTTGTGTCGACATGTGTCGCTACGTGTCGCTCCCCAGCACCCCAGCGCACCGCCCCCTCCGCCCCGACGACTTTATTTCGGCGTCGTCGTCGCCCCCCCCCTCTCCCTCTCCTCAGCAGCCCAGCGCGCTGCCCCCTCCGCCCCGACCACTTTATTTCGGCGTTGTGTCGACATGTGTCGCTATGTGTCGCTCCCCAGCACCCCAGCGCACCGCCCCCTCCGCCCCGACGACTTTATTTCGGCGTCGTCGTCGCCCCCCCCCCCCTCTCCTTCTCCTCAGCAGCCCAGCGCGCTGCCCCCTCCGCCCCGACCACTTTATTTCGGCGTCGTCGTCGCCCCCCCCCGGTCCTTTTCCCCAGCAGCCCAGCGCACCGCCCTCTCCGCCCCGACCACTTTATTTCGGCGTCGTCGTCGCCCTATTTCGGCGTTGTGTCGACATGTGTCGCTTTCCCCAGCAGCCCAGCGCACCGCCCTCTCCGCCCCGACCACTTTATTTCGGCGTCGTCGTCGCCCTATTTCGGCGTTGTGTCGACATGTGTCGCTATGTGTCGCTCCCCAGCACCCCAGCGCACCGCCCCCTCCGCCCCGACGACTTTATTTCGGCGTCGTCGTCGCCCCCCCCCCCCTCTCCCTCTCCTCAGCAGCCCAGCGCGCTGCCCCCTCCGCCCCGACCACTTTATTTCGGCGTCGTCGTCGCCCCCCCCTGTCCTTTTCCCCAGCAGCCCAGCGCGCCGCCCTCTCCGCCCCGACCACCATCCCCCTCTCCCGAGCAGCCCAGCGCGCCGCCCCCTTTGCCCCGACCACTTTATTTCGGCGTCGCCGTCGCCCCCTCCCCCCCTTCTCCCAGCAGCCCAGCCCAGCGCACCGCCCCCTCCGCCCCGACCACTTTATTCTCTTGCACAGGGTGTCTAGAGCTCCGACCATTTTATTTCGCGTCGCTCCCCCCCCCCCCGCGTCCTCAGCGCCAGAGTGGGGCCCCCGCGCCGTGGCTCTCTGCCCCAAGCCCCCCCGCGTCCCCAGCGCCCCAGCGGGGGCCCCGCCCACTGCCCCCTCCGCCACGAACGCTTTATCCCGCGTCGCCCCCCCCGCCCCCCCGCGTCCCCAGCGCCAGTGTGAGGCCCCCGCGCCGTGGCTTTCTGCCCCGAGCCCACCGCGTCCCCAGCGCCCCAGCGGGGGCCCCGCCCACTGCCCCCTCCGCCACGAACGGTTTCTCCCGCGTCGCAGCTCCCCCCCCTCCCCCGCGTCCCCAGCGCCAGTGTGGGACCCCCGCGCCGTGGCTCTCTGCCCCAAGCCCCACGCGTCCCCAGCGCCCCAGCGGGGCCCCCGCCCACTGCCCCCTCCGACACGAACGCTGTATTACGCGTCGCACCCCCCCCCTCCGCGTCCCCAGCGCCAGAGTGGGACCCCCGCGCCGTGGTTCTCTGCCCCGAGCCCCCCCGCGTCCCCAGCGCCCCAGCGGGGGCCCCGCCCACTGCCCCTTCCGCCACTAACGCTTCATCCCGCGTCGCGCCGCACACCACCTCCCCCACCTCCCTCCCCGCGTCCCCAGCGCCCCAGTGGGGACTCCGCCCCGTGCCCCCTCCGCCCCGACAATTTTATTCCGCGTCGCGACGCACGCCACCTCCCCCCCTTCCCTCCTTTTTCCCCAACGCCCCAGTTGGACCCCCGCCCCGTGGCCTTCTGCCCCAAGCCCCGCCCAGTGCCCCCTCCGCCCCGACAGTTTATTCCGCGTCGCGGCACACACCACCACCCCTCCTCTCCGCGCCCCCAGCGCCCCAGTGGGACCTCCGCCCCGTGCTCCCTCCGCCCCGAGCACTTTATTCCGTGTCGCGACGCACGCCGCCTCCCCCACCCTCCCCACCTGGGACTTGGGCCCCGCTGCTGGGCCCAGAGGGCGATGCCTTGCCCCCTCTTCCCCCCTCCTCCTCCTCCTCCTCCTCTTCCTCCTCCTCCTCCTCCTCCTCCTCCTCCTCCTCCTCCTCCTCCTCCTCCTCCTCCTCCTCCTCCTCCTCCTCCTCCTCCCCCTTCCTTGTTGTGCAAGGGCTATGGCACACGTGCCACTTGTTTTTCCACCAAAATCCGCCTGTCGGGGGACATGCCCGAGTTAACAGAAGGAGATGGCCAGGCCGCGCCCAGAGAGGTCGCAGAGGCAGCGGCCCCGGCCAGACGAGGCCCGCGGCCCGGGCCGCGGGGAGCGCAGGAGCCCAGGGGGGGCCCTCCCAGCACGGGGCCAGGCTCGGGGGGGGGCGACAGGGTAATGATCGAGCAGTGGCGAAGCGTCCTGGCTCTGCTTATAGGCCCACCAGCAAGTGTTCAAAGAAGCTTCTGTGGTCTGCACGAGATGTTCTTAGAACATTTCTGGCTGAGACTGTCTTGTTTTAGCACATCGGGCGTACGCTCTGAGAACATTGTTCTTGTTCTTAGAGCACTTTTGGGTTCTAAGGACATTCTGTGGTAGGCCTATGAGGATTCCTGGGACGATGGATCCCCGCTCAAGTGATGAGGATAGCACAGGGCAGGGTTGAGAATCAGCTCGCGCCGCTGGTCTTCCTGGCGTCCTCTGTCTAGGCCTCCCAGATGGGGTCGGGGTAGATGGGGTCGGACGATCGCGCCGCATCGCCGATGCGTCGCCGATGCATCGCCGATGCGGCTCGATGCGGAGCCCGATGTCCTCCACGCCGACGTCGACGATGCATCGCCGGTGCATCACCGATACATCGCCGATGTATCGGCCATGCGGCACGATCCTCCGACCACATCTACTCCGACCCCATCTGTGAGGCCTCTATCCAGGCGATCATGTGTCGAGAAGTGGGCCCGCAGGCGTGGCGAAAACCATCTGCATGCAGCAGATTCCTCACGCCCCCCCTTTCCCTCGGCTAATTACCCTTCCGTTCGGCCCGACAGGAGAGCAGGCGTGCCATCGGAAGACTGGAGTCGCAGAAGAATCAACATGTATAAATATGAACTTTTGGAGCTCCGCGTGGACTTCTTGGACTTGCGCTGGGCACCCCCTGGCGGCGTCTCGGGCGTCGCCCCTGGCGCGCTCCGCGCGCCAGCGAGGGGGTTCTGGCGCAGATCCAACAACTCCGCGCGGAGCATCGCACGTATGTTCTACAGAGGCTGGTACCAATACCAATATCGGCGGTGTGGCTCCACCGAGGGCAAATGATCCTGATCTCGGTCAGGGTGGTAATGTTCTGGCTTCCTAGGTGACCAGAGGATTATCACGAACACCAGAATCTAGGATCAGCTCTACCTGGTGGAGGCAAACCCCTGTGTTGGGGCTGGTGGTGCCAATGTGCAAGCGTCCAATGTTAGATCGTAATATACGGAAGCTTCCGCTCGTTTTGGAATGAGCTTGATATCGCTCAGTAGCGCCAAACAGTGGTGGCTGGCGCCGAATCACGCTCCACTAGCGCTCAATAGCGCCCAATAAGCGCCATGCGAGGGAGATGCATGGTATCCGCTCTGCGCGCGCGCGTGGGCTCACGATTCGGCGCCATGGGGACGACCAACAGCGTGCGCGAGCTGCTTCCTGAGACGTGGGGTCGGCGGATGGCGCCGCGTCGCCGGCGCCATCGGCGACGCGGCTCTATGCAGAGCCCTCTCTTCTACACTCGCCGACGGCGCCGCCGCGTCGCCGGCGCGTCGCCGATGCATCGGCGATGCGTCAGTGAGGCATCGGTGGTCATCGGCGATGCGCGGCATAGGCGAGCAAAGCTTGCACGAAGAGACTTGTGGAGAAGGCGGACAGCAGTTCCTGCCGAGCTTGAACAGGACTCGCGGACGGCGTCATCACGGACGTCAGACGGAAGGCTGCTTGCCCCAGCAGCAGTGGTTGTAGATTGTTTGACCAATTTCGGCGTTGGGGATCGCATCCACCCAGACATTTGGTATCTCGATTTGTCGAGACATGGGTCCCCGACCTCTCGATCACTTCCTCTGGGACGTTTTTGTTCATCGGAGTCGTTTTGACAGTCCCCAGGCTTGGCGAGCGCCCCGAGAAGCCGAAAACTCATTTAACAAATTGTATCTTGTTTTGTCGCGCGATGTCTTGGCATTTCTCCGTGCCCACTCTGGGCGTAATCTTCCGGCCTCAGATCTGCTCTGACCTGTCCACGGGACCTCTCCCTGGTTGCGCTGTGGACAGGAATTTCGAGGCGAGTCCAGTCGTGGCGACGAGGGCCCCGCGTGAGGCCCATAGGGGCGGAACCGTGGCCAGGATAGCGGCATCGGTACCAGCAAAGTTCCAAGCTAGAGCTCAAGCCAAGACAGGCGACAAGACGGAGCTGGCGCTGCCGCGAAGGCTAGAGCTAGCCCAGCGAGCTCAAAAATTGGCGCACTATGCAGAACCAGACCAAGCGTCCACACTGGTTTTAGCTTTGCGATTGCTATAGCCGATGCTGCGCATCGGCACCTCCTCCTCCTCTTCTGAGTGTTGCCCGTGCCCGTTGCGGTCGCGATTTCCTGCGGCCGCGCAGCCGTTCCTGCGCCAGCTTTGGGGAGGGCCCCGCCAGGACGGGCGCCTGGCAGGAGCGCCTGGCCCAGCGCCGAAGAGGCCCGGCGGGCGGCCGCTCCTTCCCGTCGGCCACTGCCTCCCTCCCCTCCCCTCCCCTCCCCCTCCCTCCCCGCCCTCCTCCCTCCCTGCCGCCCTCCCTCCTCCCTCCTCGCACCCTCCTCCTCCCATCGGCCTTTTCCTCCCTCCTTCCTCCCTCCTCCCTCCCTCCTTCCCTCCCTCCCTCCTCCCTCCTCCCACCTTCCTCCTCCCATCGGCTTTTCCCCGAGGGGGAAAACCTCCCAGACCCGATCACTCCTTCGACTCCTTCTGTGGGTGCGTTTACTAAACGGCTTCGCGTGTCGGGGTGTGATTACTGAGGGTGATTCTCTGCTTTCGGTTTTCTATTTCTCTCCTCCTTCCTCTCTCCGCCCTCCTCATTTTTCTTCCCTCCTTCCTCCTCGTGGCCGCCGCGTGATGTCTGTCCCTCCGTCGTGGCAGTCGGCGTGGAGAGGTCACTTCGTCGCGACAGGTCGACGTGAAGAGGTCCTCCAGGCCCCGAGGGGCCTGAGAGCTGTGGAAGCTGGAGCGGACCCCTCCCCCTTTCGAGGAGCACGAAATGCATTGCAAATCAGATGGAAAGGAACACTCGCAAGATGCTGGACGGATCAACGAGAATGGTCGCCTGTGCACTTTCTTGTCCGCCTGCGGTCCACCATCGAGCATGAGCGCCTCCTGCCTGGCCAGCAGTGTGGCCCCCTCCTGGGAGACGGACTTGAGCAGTGCTTGAACCCTTGAACCAGCTCCGCCTCCTGTACGCGCGTCTCCTCCTGCACCACGTCCGCCTCCTCCTTGTCCTCCTTGTCCTCCTCCTCCTCCTCCTCCTCCTCCTCCTCCTCTCGAGGAACAGGAAACGCCGTAGACACAAACTTTTGGCGCTACGCGCGGATTTCTTGGATGGGCGCCTGGGCCCCCCTGGCGCCGCCCCTGGCGCGCTCCGCGCGCCAGGGAGGGGGGTCCAGCGTCCATCCAAGAAATCCGCGCGGAGCGTCAACCGTTTATGTTTATGTAGTTGCTTCCCCTTCTATCCTCCCTTCTCCCTCTCTCCCTCGTTCAGCACAAGGCCCAGGGGTCCTCGCGAGGTTCGAGGTTGTCGGGCGCTTTCCTTGTTTCGCGAGGACGAGGACGACCAGATGACGAGGACCAGGACGAGCGAAGGACGAGTTTGACGTTCCGAGGACGAGGGCGAGGGACGAGCAGAGATATAGGAGTTTAACACCAAGCGGCAGGATGATAATTTCTTGGAGGTCCGCGCTGAATTCTTGGATTGGCGCTGAGGTTCCCCTGGCGGCGCCTCGGGCGCCGCCCCTGGCGCGCTCCGCGCGCCACGGAGGGGGGTCCGGCGCCGATCCAAGAAGTCTGTACGGACCTCCGAGAAAGTATGTGCTTGAAATGCTCCTTCTTCTATTGTCGTGCGTTTTCGTAGGTTCTCGTCTCTTTCCAGCATCGGGGGCCTCTCCAGCAGCCGCGCCTCTCCGAGAGCGTCCTGGGGGAGAGAGGGAGGGCGTCAGAGAGGAGAGTACGCCCCGAGGCCCACCCCATGAAGGAAAGGCCCCCTCCCCTGGGAAACCAGTCTTGTAGGTCTTCGCCGGTTTTGGGCTCCTGGGCTACAAGCAACAGTTTCAGGGCGAAGTTCTATCCCCGTTGGGCCAGAAACGCAACGAAATGTCAACAGTTTCCTGCCTCCAGCACCCGCAGCACCCTAGACGGTGCCCATGTGCGGGCGTGTTTCGTGCTTCGTGCTTCGTGCTTCCTGCCTCCAGCAGCCCAACCTACCGAGCGTCAGGCCGTCTCGAGTGTCCCGAGCCGACGGGTGCCTTGCCCAGATCTCTTCGACGGCGCGCGCAAGGGGGTGGTGCCAGGCATGCGGCCTGCCGAGGAGGCAAGGGACATCTACAGGAAAGCAGGTGGGCTTCCAGCTACATGCATGTGGATGTTTGCAGGGAAAAACAGCAGGAAGGCAGGTGTGCTTCCGGGAAGCCCTCCTGGCGCCCAAGATGCCTCCTGACATGCAGAGGCCCCCGGGCCTCTCCTGAGAAGGCGCCTCCTCTCGCTAGGCCCCCCTGCCATCCCTGAGTGGAAGCATCGCCATCGACCCCGACCCAGCCCCCGACCTTGTCTTCCCGCGCCGTTTTTTGACGCCGGATCGACCTGCGGCGGCCTCGGGGGTCCGACGACGACGCTTGCCGTGGGGGCAAGACACTGCGACGCCAGGTGCTCAGGGTTCGCAGGAGGCCGCCCCCCTCGCGCCACCCCTGGAGGAAGCGCACCACCACCACCACCGCCGGGAGCATGGCAATGGAGGCAGAGGGTGGTCAGGGGCGGATCGAGGATGACGAGGGTCGAGGAGGGGGAGGCAGAGGAGGTGGAAGGGGAGGAGGAGGCAGAGGAGGAGGAGGAGGAGGGGGAGGAGGAGGAGGAGGAGGAAGACAACGAGGAGGAAGAGGATCGATCAGAGAAGGAGGAGGAGGAGGAGGGTGAGAAGGAGGGGGAGGAGGAGGATGATGATGAGGGGGAGGAGGGAGGAGGAGGAGGAGGAGGAGGAGGAGGAGGAGGAGGCGGAGGAGGAGGGGGAAGGGGGGAGGAGGAGGAGGAGGAGGAGGAGGAGGGAGGAGGAGGAGGAGGAGGAGGAGGAGGAGTTGGAGGAGGATGAGGAGGACAAGGAGGAGGGGAGGGGGAGGGGGAGGGGGAGGGGGAGGGGGAGGAGGAGGGGAGGGAGGAGGAGGAGGAGGAGGAGGAGGAGGAGGAGGAGGAGGAGGAGGAGGAGGACGACGACGAAGATGTGGTGAACGTACTCATTTCGGGTGCCCTGGGGGGGCGCCCCCCCAAGCGCCCCTGGTTGCACGCGGGGGGCACTGGGCCCTCGGGGTCCGAACCCCCGGCACCCGGGCGTTCTTTCCCGGGGGTGCCGCCAGGTTCCGTGGCCTCCCCCAGGGCGGCGCTGGAGCTGACTCCCCGCCATCGCCGCCTCGGGGCGGGATCGGCGGTCCGTCTTCCCACCTTGTCGTTCGTTGTCTTCTGTTGCTCTTCGTCTCGTCGTGTCGTTTCTCGGCCCCTGGGCCCAGATTTTGCTCCCCAGGCCCACTGGGGCGAGCGGGGGCCCTGCCCGCTCTGCACCGGCGCCGCTGGCCTTCTCCTCCTCCTCGTGGGAGCGGTGCAGGGCACGGCGGGTCCCTCCCTCGGCCCCCGGGCCCAGGCCGCCGCGCCGTGAACAGTTGACCGCGCCGTGGGCGTGCGGCCCGAGGCGATGGAAGCGCTGCGGATTTCTGCTCTCCTCCCGCAGCTCGCGTGAGGCGTCGTGGACGGCAACGAGAATTTAAAGAACGCGGCTTCCTGCCGGGCGCTCTCGCGGGACATCCTGCGCGCCCCGCATCCCGCGCCCCTTCTCGCCCGGAATCCCCCCAGGTGGCGGCGGAGGTGCGCCTCCCGATCCCGCCGCCGCGGCGAGCGGCGCCAGACGCCTCCGGGCAGTCGCCGCCCGCCCGCGGGGTCTGCCGGACGTGGTCGTTCCGCCCACCCTGGTGGGCGCGCGGGGCCGGTGCGGGACCGCCGCCGCCGCCGCCGCCGCCTCGGGAGCGGAGGGCGAGGGACGCTCGCAGGAGGGGGGGACATTTCGAACGTCAAAGCACGGCATGGACAGACTTTCTCGGAGGGCCGCGCGGGTTTCTTGGTTCGGCGTTGGGGGGCCCCCCCTGGCGGCGCCTCTGGCGCCGCCCCCTGCGCGCTCCGCGCGAGGAAGGGGGGTCCAGCGCCGATTCCAGAAGTTCGCGTGACCTCGGAGAAATTATGTTGAGGCCCTTGTTGTCCCTCATGCCAATAATTACCCTTGCTCGTCTTGGAGCCCCTGTCGCCGCTACAGGAGTATTCTCGAACTTCTGGTGTCATTGGTATTTGTTTGTTCCCTCAGGAGGTGGCGAGCCGGATGCTCGTTTGGGAAACAATTCCAGGCACCGCCTAACGAATTTGTTTGGATTTGGCTCGATCCTAGTTCGCCCGCAGTTGGATTCAAAATCGGCTCACGCTCGATTCGAGCTCCACTCAAGCCGACGGCCGTTCGACGCCGCGTGGAGCGAATGGCCCCCAGAAGGTCGCCATAGCGGGCATCGATAGTTAGGAGGAATGCGAGGCAGGGAGTAGGTCGTGCTGGGAGGAGGAGTGAAGGACTGAACGCTCACATCGGCGTAAAACTGTAACCTTTTGTCGGAGGCCCGCGCGTTTTTTTGTTGAGCTGGTGCTAGGCCCGCCAGGCGCCGCCCCTGGCGCGCGTTCCGCGCGCCAGGGAGAGGGTTCCGGCGCCTAGGCAGTTTTTGACGCTACGCGCATCCCCGCAAGCCCATCAAGAAACGGTGCACAGGCGAGTTGCCTTGATCAGGGAAGTGGGGGAACACACATAGAACACAGGGCTGGATAAACCGTCGTACACTAAGAGGGGGAAGAAGGGGGAGGAATCGGAGGAGGAGGAGGAGGGGAAGGAACAAGCAGGGGACAAGGAGTAGGTGGGGGAGGAGGAGGACAAAGTGAAGGAGGGCGAGAAGGAGGAGGAGGAGGAGGAGGAGGAGGAGGAGGAGGAGGGAGGAGGAAGGGGAGGAGGGATGAGGGGAGGAAGAAAAATTTGGTGGATGAGGAAGAGGAGAGGAAGAGGAGAAGATGACACCGACGGAGAAGAACATGGCGAGCTTGGGGACCTCTTGTGGCGTCTTGGGAGCCTCTTGGCGGTCCCGGGCGCGTCTTGGAGCGTCTTCGGTGCCTCGGGGAGTCTCTTGGGGCCACCTGGGGGTCTCTTCGGAGTCTCTCGGGGGCTTCTTGGGGCCTTTCTGGCACCTCTTGGGGCCCTCTTTGGGCGCTCTTCCGAGCCTTGGGGGCGCTCTTGGAACCATCTCCGAGGAGATCGATCGGAAAAGGGGGGGACAATTTGCCCTGCCCTTCTAGAGTGCCTAACTTCGTCGTCTCTTGGAACCCTCTTGGAGCGCTCTTGGGGTCGTCTTGGGACTCTGTTGGGCCTCTCTTGGAGCCTTCATGGGCCCTCTTGGAGCCATCTTGAGGCCTCGGAAGGCCATCGAAAGAAAAAAGGTGAGACAACCAAAACTCAATGACTTTCTGTTGGATGTTGAAGAATTCTGGCCTCTTGGCGGCCTCATGGGGGGATTCCGTGGCCACTTGGAGCCATCTTGGAGCGGTCTTGGGGCGTCTAGGAACATTTTGGAATCCATCTGGAGCCATCTTATCCTATCTTGAGCCATCTTGGAGGTCATCTCGGGCTCCCTGAGGCCCTCTTGGAGCCATCGTGGGCTGTCCTGGACGCTCCGACGCCTCGCGACCCCCTGCCCCCTCCAGGTCCGGGGGGGGGGCAGGGGGAGGGATGAACCCTTCCCCGAGGGTGAAGAAGGGGTTACAAGAGAAACCGCCCTAGAGCACCTACAGTCAACCCGCATAGCAAGGTTGGGCAACCTTCCCAAGGGTACCCTCACATCCTTGCCTCCTCGGTCCATCCTTCGCCGCTTTCGCTGGCCGCGCCCCGCTCGAAAAGCTTCGAAATGGGCGTCCAAGGCCCTTGCATCCTTATCGCGTATCCTTACTATACTGATTGATTGTGCGCCCAGAGGGTGGGATCTCTGGGGCTGCATGCAGCCGTCGCCACGTTGCTGCACCTCCTGGATCCACAACGAGATCTCGGCGCCCCCGGGGGCATCCAGGCGCGCAGCCGTCGCCACGATGGCCGGGGTCCGGAGAGCTGAAGTTCTACAGTGATGGAAACGAGACCTCAGCATTCCTCGACTCTGCCATTCGTGCACCTGTCGGTCGGCATGTCGGTGCTGGCTTTGGCGTTTTCTGGCGGAGTGGTGGCTCACGATGACGATCCAAAATGGCACTTCGTCTTCCTTGGGTGTCACCATCCGTATGATTCTCGCCACTCTGCTGCGCCCATGGGGGGGGATCATTTGGAGTGATGTCTCACGGGGGTCCAGAATGAAACCTCGGTGTGCTTGGATGCTGCTAGGCATGCGGCTGTCGCCACTCTGCTGCCCAACTCCCAAAGGGGGAAACTGATCATGTTGTCTCTTCGTCATCGTCGTCGTCATCGTCGTCGTCCCACTTCCCCACCTGTCCTTGGGATTGCCTGAAAACGAATCCGTCTATGTCGCATGCCTTTTCCTATTGCCATTCGTCATGGATGGGCGTCTCGGTGTTGCCTGGTCGACGGTATGGGTAGATGCGCCCTGGGTAAGATGACGGCCCAGGGCCCGAAACCAATCCGACGCCCCCAAGAAACACCCTGCTTGCCTCCAGGGTGCCCTGGGTTGCTCGGGTCTCGATGGTCCTACGATGGACAGCGTGACGCTCCCACGCCCAAAATCGGTGGACGTCCTGGGGTCTCAGGCTTGGGTTTCTTGTAAAAGGTTCCCTGTGCTCTGCTATCTGATCCCCGTATGCTGTGTGTACCCGATTGCTTTCTGCTGCCGAACGGTTCTCCTCGTGGAAAGATTTCTGTGTTCTGGGGAAGGGCCGAGCCCCTGCTGCCTGCTGCTCTCCGAAGCCGCTGGACGGCTGGGGCCCGACACTTGGGCACAGCTCGGGCGGCCGGCACCGAGGGGACTCGGCCGCGGGCCTCGCCGAGGGGGGGGGGGGGGGCGGAGACGGCCGCCTTCCTCGGAGGGCGGCGGCGCCTCGGGAAGCCACCTCGCGCCCTCTGCGGAGCGGCCTGGTGATCGTTGTGCTTTCATCGTTCTGCCGATCGGCGCGGGCCCCCCAACACCCTTCCCCCTCCCCTCCCCCCCCCCATGGAGTGGATCTTGGCTGCTTTTGGGCGCCCGTTTCGAGCAGGTAGGGTCTCCCCCGCAATGGATGCCTCGTTCCAAACAGCCGCACCAGGCAGAGGTCTCGAGCCAGACCCCCCCTCTCTCCCATCCCTTCCGCCCAATGTCGAAACGCCGAAAAACAAAAAAAAACGTTGACCTTCTGAGGAGCGGCCTGTGTCTTCGGAGAAGGTGGGAGGATGGAGAGGTACCCATACAGTCGACCCGCACAGTAAGGATGGGCAATTGTCCCAAGGGTGCCCGTCAGTGGCATCCTTGCCTCCTCGCTCCATCCTCGGCCACTTTCGCTGGCCGCCTTCTGCCCCAGAAGCCTCGAAACGGCCTTCCAAGGCCCTTGCATCCTTGTCGCGCATCCTGATGATACGGGTCGACTGTACCGCTACCCTTCGCCCGTGTTCGCCGTTTTGGGCCTCCTGGGAGGCCTTCGTCGCCACCGCCGGATTCGCCTCGAAACCTAGGTCAGAACGCTCCCAGGGAGAGGTGCTGGGGAGGAGCGGTATCGGCACCTCGTTCATTGGTCTCCCCAGAAGAATTTCTGAGCTTTTCAGAAGGCTGGTGGCCGTCTGTCGGAGAACAGACAAGCGCATGAAGGTCCTTCCTCGGAGGCCCGCGCGGATCTTTTGGATCTGCGCTGGGCCTTCCTGGCGGCGCTGCCGGCGCCGTCCCGCTCCGGGGAGAGGCCTCCAGCGCTGATCCAAGAAACCCGCTGTGTTTGTGATGTGTCGAGCTCCTGCGTCCTGCGGCCTTTGAGATTGCCAGTTTGACGCATATCCCTATCCCTATATTTGGCATCACCTTACCTCGATGCCGATCTTGCCGATTTCCCTTGTTTCTGAGGGCACATCCCGAAGATCGTCATCGTTTTTTGCTTGCCGATCTTAGGGATAGGGGGAAGTTCGAGTCTGGTTATGAGAAGCCCCGCCCCCTCCTTGTTCCCCCTGGGCTCGCCGCCGGCCGGGCGCGGGGAAACGTGCGCATTCTTCCCAGCGCGTCTTGGATGCCTGTGGCAGTTTCTCTCGGGGGTTGGCCAAGAGTTGAGAGTCGGGCCGAGGGTCAGAGGTCGCCGTCCTCTGCGGGACCGCCGAGGAAGGGACGCCAAGGTGGTCAAACGCCTCGCCGGTTCAGCCGATGAAGATGTGCAGAGTCCACCCGTAATCTTATGTCCAAGGTTTTGGCTTGACGCCGGGTGTGGTGCATCAATTTCAGCTTGGCCGAACAGGCTGATTGCGCCCGTTGACGTCCGCATGGGGTGCTCTGCAGACCTGAGCCCCCAGCCAACCAGTCTCAAGCCAAGAGTGGGGTGATGGCTAGAACGGGGGTTGGATATCACGGCGGGGGCCACGCTACCTCCGCGGATCTCACGGTCCCTTGTTCTTATATCAGCACGTCCCCTGGTTACCGCTTGGGTCGCACGCGTGGCCATGGTTTACAAACTCCTTTCGTGGACTTAAGTCGGGCATGTCCCCGTAAAGGAGGAGAAATCAAACATAGTCAAAACTTGTCTGGGTACGATTTCTGGATTTTTGGGTAATGTTTGAGCATTTGTTTGTTTTGTGATTTTTCATTTTCCTTCCAACATCTGGCTGTAGGGGGACACGCCCGACCTAATCCTAGACACTCCCCTCTCGGCTTGGCTGCCGGCGTCGTTGTCATGTATGTCATGTGGAGAGCCTCTCCAGGATCGTTCCCAGTGGCAGGAACATGTGTGTGTGTGTGTGCTGTCGTCCCCTTCCCGAGTGCTTCTGCTCCGCATCGACACCTTCGATGAACCACCCGCCTTAGGAGATCCCCGCGCCCTCTTTCCCCGCACCTCTCTGCCCGTCTTCCCCCCACCGTGCGGCTCCCCGCACCGAGGTGGCGCGAGGGGAGTCGGAGGCGGACTTCCAGATCACGGTCAGCAAGCACGTCCGGGGCCCGGGAGCCCCCCTCGTTCACTCGGCACGGACGAGATGGGCACGGAAGGAGCGGGCACGATGCCCAAACAGTAGTTCTTGCTCATTTTGAACAGGACTTGTTGTTCGCGCCGCCGCGGACGGTCTTTGAAGACAAAGCGCCGCCTGCCCAACAGCGGCCTGTCGGTTTGGGACAACATTTGTTGTTGGGCATTGTACCCATGTTTTCCGTACCCATTTCGGGCGTCCAAATTCGCCGCCTTTTTCGGGTCGGGCGGCAGGGGGGTTACGAAGGACATCCGCGGTTCGGTCGGATCGGTGCGGTCGAGTGAGTTGTGAGTGGTGTTGTTGTCGTCAGTTGTGCGGTTGGGTGTGTGCGGTCGGATCGGTGCGGTCGAGTGGGCCGATGGCTGCGTCGGGAGTGGGTTGTGAGCTGTGTCCAATCGCATCGTTGCGGTCGACCGACCTTCGTGGCGGTGTTTTGCTTCGCTGCGGCCTTCCAGGCTGCCTGTCGGATTCGGGGCTGGATCGGTTTCTGCTGCGCCGTCGGTGCGGTCGTTCATGCGTGGAGCCCTCGCCGTGGACGGCCTCAGGGAGGCTCCAGGAGGTGGCGCCACGCAGAGCTCCTGGTCCGTCGGGGGTGGACAGAGCCCCCACCCTGACACGTCGATTCGTGACTTGGCCGTTTTCGGTTCTCGAGGGGGCACCGCGGCCGTCATCTTCTTCCAGGCCTGCGCCCGCCAGGCTTGGGCCCGAGGTCGTTTCCACTAACACTAAGCCACGTTTTGCTGAAGGGGGCTCTGTCCATCCCCAAATCTGAAAGCCGAGCATGAACAAAACAGGTGTTCCCACCACGCAGGTACGAGACCTGCTGCACGCAGCTGGTGTCGACCGTGCTGGCAAGCCAGCCAGCCTGCCTGTCTTCCTGGCCGCCTCTCGCACCCGGGCGGGCGCCGAGGAGCGAGGAGGCCAGCTGCAACGGTAGGTGGACAACGAGTATCCACACGCGTCTCGCCAAGACGTTGAGTCATTAAAGCACGTCGGACCAACATGTATACACCTCTTTCCCTAAATTCAAAGTTGACGGGTTTAGGCGGTAGGCCAAAGGCCAGGGACAAAATGCGTTTTCTCCAATTTTGGGTTTGGGGGGGAGGGGCGCGAAGTTAGGACATCTCGCAGTTGTGGTTGTTATCATGTTGCATCGCCTTCCCTCCATGGGTGTGGGCACTTGTTGTCCGGTACCGTCTGAGTAAGAACAGTTTCGTTGTTTCGTTGATGCGGGCTTGCTTCGATGCGGAACTGGTACAACTGGATAGAACTGGTCCTAGAATTGGCCCATTACAAATAGGGTCTGGCATAGAACTGGTCGGAATTCTAAAAAGAAATAATGTGTAAATATATTGTTTGAATTTGAAAAGGCCAGTTCTATGCCTGACCCTATCTTTTATGGGCCAGTTCTATGAACAGTTCTATGATCTATGACCAGTTCTATACAGTTGTACCAGTTGTACCAGCTCCACGCACTTCTCCACGCAAAGGGAAGACGCGGGGCTGCCAGAGCGCGCCGCTGTTTGTTTTTGTTGTTTTGGCCCCGCGCTTCGTTTGATTTGCTCTGCCTTGCTTTGCGTTGCATGTCCGCAGTTCGCACTGCAGTGTGTTGAGTGCGCATCGTCGCCACCATCACCGCCATCGTCACACGCACCGTCGTTAACTTCACGCGTGACCATTGCACTGCTTGGAAACGAATATCATCCCCCTCCAGTCCCCTCCAGCCCCCTCCAACCCCCTCCAACCCCCTCCAGCTGTTCCAACAGCCTCCAGCTCCCTCAAGCCCCCATCCCAACTCCCCAGCCCCCTCGAACCCCCTGCCCCTCCGACCGCCTTCCAGACCCGGCCTTCACCCCTCCAACTTTCTCCAAGGCCCTCCAATCCTCTCCAACCCCTCCACCCGCCTTCAACCCCTCCACTCCCCTCGAACTCTCCAGCCCCCTCCGACCCCCTCCAGCCTTGGAGCCCAACCCCCGTGAGCCCCCTTCCAACGCCCTCGAGAACCCTCTCTGGGCTCCGGCGTCCGTCCCTCTCCTCCGTACTCGTCCAGGCTTTGCGCTTCTCCGCATCTCGCACTCGGCTTTGCTATCTGCTTCTCGCTCGTCCTAGCGTCGCGTTGCTTGGGCCTTCGCGTGAGACGTGCACACATTTGAAGCAGCTCGTACCAACAGCATACCTTCATTGACAGGGTTGATTACCACGGTAGGTGGACAACAAGTACTCACACGCGTCTCGCCAAGACGTTGAGTCATTAAAGCACGTCGGACCAACATGTATACCCCTCTTCCCCTAAATTCAAAGTTGACGGGTTTAGGCGGTAGGCCAAAGGCCAGGGACAACATGCGTTTTCTTCAATGTTGGGTTTTTGGGGGGGAGGGGCGCGAAGTAAGAGCATCTCGCAGTTGTGGTTGTTATTATGTTGCATCACCTTCCCGTCATGGGTGTCGACACTTTTTGTCCGGGCACCGAAGCAGCTGCTCCGCCAGCTCCCCTTCGCTCGGGGGCAACGGCAAGGTGGGATCTGCCAAAGGGTGGGGTTGATCTTTCCAACTCCGCCGAGCATCGGACAGGGGCGTTGCTCGGAGGAGGATTGCCGCGGTCGATCCCCCAAGGGGGTTGAGGCGGAGGAGAAGACGGAGAAGAAGGGGATGCATCGACCCCCCGTCGCCCATTGATCGCCGACAGGTGCACGGTGGCCCACCCCGCTCAGGGACGTGCGCCTGTGCTATCGGGAGGCCTGTCGCCAATCCATCGGCGACGCATCGCCGATTCCAGCTCGATGCATCCCCCCCCCTGAGCTGGACCCCCCCCTATCGTTGCCCTCACTTTCTCGATTCCCCCCTGGACTGTTCGCCCCGATCGTCGCCTCCGAAACTCCCCCTTTCGTCCTCCCCGACCCTTCCTCCTCGTCACCCACTTCCGCCTGGCCTGCCGAGAGACAGGCGCGTGCACACATCGCGGGCGCCGCGGTGGTCCAAGGTCGGCGCGTCGCGATAGAATGGCCCGATCAGGAGGAGGAGGAGGAGGAGGAGGAGGACGAGGAGGAGGAAGGCGCGCCTCGGGGTCCCCGCGGAGCTTGCCCGCGGTCCAGGGCAACGGAGGCTACAGGCCCTGGCCGGCAGACCCCTCCCACCTGACCTGACTTGGGAGCTTCAGGAGGGAAAGAATCACAGACACAATTCGTCGATTCCCTAGAAAATATAGGGGAAATATGGGAAGTGGGGGGGACGACGAAAACCCAGCAAATATTAGAAAATATGGGGAATCCTGTTATTTGAATCTATTTATGTATATGTCCCACGGTCCCTTCAGTGATGGGGGCCGATTCGAAGGAGGGGGGCAGAGCGAGGGCTGCGTAGAAGGGGCCCTGCAGGGCCCTCAGAGGGCCCTTTCAGGGCCCAAAGGCAGCCTCTATAGGACCCGAGAAGGGTGCCTTTCTTTCCCTCCCCCCTGTACACACACGCACGCACGCACACGCACACAAACACAAACACACACGCACACACGCACACACGCACACACGCACACACGCACACGCGCACACGCACACGCACACGCACACGCACACACGCACACACGCACACGCGCACACACACACACACACACACACACACACACACACACTTTTTCGCGTCCCCATAAATCAAGCATTGGCGAAGCGTCCTGGCTCCCCTCTAGGCCCACCAAATAGTGTTCTAAGAACCTTTTGTGGTTTGCACGAAATGTTCTTAGAGCATTTCTGGCCAGGACTGTCTTGTTTTAACACGCCGGGCTTGTGTTCTAAGAACATTGTTGTTGTGCTTACAGCGCTTTGGGGTTCTAGGCACAGGTCGTGGTAGGCCTACAGGAAGGCCCGGACGGTCGGTCCCTGCTCAAATGGATTCGCGCCCAAGGGAGCGGCCGGGAGAGGAAAACCCCCGCGAAAAGTTCGCGATAGTTTCCCCCTCCCAGCCGCGGCCGCAGCCGCAGCCCCGACCGCAACCGCGGCCGCGGCTGGACAAGGAAAACCCCCGCGAAAAAATCGCGATAGTTTGCCCCTCCCAGCCGCGGCCGCAGCCGCAGCCGCGGCCGCGGCCGCTGCCTCGGACAGACGGCCATCCCCCGGGGGAGCCGCCCTCTCTGCTCCGGGTGGCCTCCAGGGGAGCCGCGAGCGAGCGCGCGTCCGCCGCCGGAGGCCCTGCAGTGGACTGGCTCCCAGGTCCTCGGTGGACACCGAGAGTGTGTCAAAAGGGCCCCAGGGCCACCCGGTTCCCCGCTTGGGCCTGGCATCGCTCGGACGCGTGTATTTTTTTCTCGGCCAGGACCCTCGAGGACGATCCTGGACCATCGAGCAAAGAAACACGCACGAAACCGAAACATGCACGGGAAATGGGCGTCCGAGCGACGGCAAGTGGGAGTGGGCCCCGCTGGCGAATGCCCCCCAGGTCCCTGTCTGAAAGCGGGCCCCACTGTCGAATGGCCCTGAGGTGCCTGGTTGACGGTGGGCGCCAGTGTCAAATGCGCCCCGAGGCCACTCATTTCCTGGTGTGTCAGTGGGCCTTGGCCCTGCGGGTCCGAACGACGTTGGGATACAGTCGGACCGAGGTATTACATCGAGTTCGGTTCGGGGAGGGCACCCTGGTGTTTTTCGTGCATGTTGGATGTTCTTGTGCATCCTGGGGAGGGTAACCTCATCAAGCTATTATGGACTCCCCCGGGGTGATCATTAGCACCGTACCGTAATTAATTAGTTCTGGGGGGCGGTTTTCGCCGAAGGATATAGTTAGAACCACGCAAATTAACGAAACTAACAAATCACGCGTCCTGGCTCGGGTGATATCCCAATTGGAATTGGAATAATAATAATGAGGAAAATAACGAAATGCGTGTAGTAGTAATAATATTGATAATGCTAAGAGTAAGAATAAATAATCAGACAAGTAATACGACTAATGATAATATTAATATTGTTAAGAGTAATACGAGTAGTACTAAGAGCGATGATTTTAAGAATAAGGACAATAATCATAATCAGAATAATAACGCGGATAACAACAAGGGTAATAATCAGGATGATAATAAGAATAATAATAAGACTCAGAGTCATAACCAGAATGGGAAACAAGTTTTGCCTCATTGTCTTCATCACCCTTGTCCTATACGATTTGTATTGCCACCCCTGTTGAACAATTGTTTTTTCCCGGTCGACGTGTGGGGTCGTGCATCCGAGGATATCGCCCCCGCCACGCACGGCGCGTTATCTTAGCACCGCGCCCGCACAACATAATGATGTCAGCTTGTCAAAATGACAAGAGGTACAATAAGACCAATAATCCGAATCACACAACTAAGAAGAAGACGACGAAACATAATAAGAATACTAGTACGAATAAGGCTAACAATGGCAATAATAAAAAGGAACATATATGTGTCAGGATAAGAGTAAGAGTAATACTAGTAATATGAGTAAGACTAAGAGTAATTCATACTATTAATGAGACTAAGAATCCTAATCATAATAACGATACGGGAAACAATACTAATCACAATAAGACTAATAATCCGAATAATAATAAGAAGAGTAATACTAACAATCGTGCAGCTAATGAGAATAAGAGCAATACTATTCATAATATTCATGAGAGTAAGGGTAATACTAGTAATGATAGTCATAGTAAGGGTGAGAAACATCATAACAACACTGGTACGAATCATAGTCCAGTAATATCATTGATAATGGTATGAAAGATTCAGACTAAGATCAGTAATGAGAATACTGAGAATTCTCATACTTACAAATATAATAACAGTAAGACTATGAATAATAATCATGGTAATACGCATGACAATAATAAGAAAACGAGCTTGGTCTCATCACCTTCCTCATCCTTGTCCTATACGATTTGAATTACCACCCCTGTTGAAACATTGTTTTTTCCCCGGCCGTCGTGTGGGGTAGTGCATCCGAGGATATCACCCTCGCCACGCACGGCGCATTATCTTAGCACCCGCACCGCCAAAATTATTCGCTCCCCATCGTAGGCACGGACGGTTCCTTTTCAAAGTTGGGCTCTCCCTTGCGTGGGACTTAATGTTGTTATTGTTGGTGTTGGCGTTGTTGGTGTTTTTGATGATGATGTGGTTGTTGGTGTTGTTATTGGCCTTGTTGTTCTAGATATAAGTCTTATTGCTGGCATGATTGTCGTTGTTCGTTTTGGTGCCGTGACGTAAAGGAGTCTTGATGATGAGGAGGAGGAGGAGGAGGATTTCTTCTGCTTGGCTGGGCCGAGGCCTCTTGACTGAGGCCTTGGCCCTCGGCTTGACCTGTAATGGCGAGAGCCAAACTATTGCGAGAATGTCTCAGGCGGTGTGCTTGTTTCGGCGAGCAGACTCGCCTGCGTTCACATAAAGGTGCGAGGTGCCAGGGTAACGTTCCTGGGGTGCCGGGGTGCGTTATAATTTCGCCAGAGAGGGGGAAGTTCTTAATTGTTTCTCCGCGTTACCCTTGAATGTTCCCTTTGCTTTGGCCGACGGAGGGTTTCGTGTTCTTGAGGGGTGTTATTCTGGCCTAGGTCCGACTGTGTCGGACACCCTTTTTTGGGGTTCACCTACATTCTGCAGATCCTGAACCCAAGCCAGAGTTTCAGAAAAACGTAACCTGCAGGGGCAGGGTCCACACGTTGTTGCCTGATTTGGATAGGCCGGGAGGGAGGATATACAGGATAGGGGTGTGGACTGGAGTGGGACGGTATCTGGATCAGGGATGCTGGCGGAAGGGGAGGCAGGAGGAGAGGACACCCCGAAGAGCTCCTCCTCTCATCTCCCTCCCTGGGGGGGGAGGAGGGATCTGGCGATCGACGATGGCCTCGCCCTCTGGGCGGGACTCGCGCCTCTGCCGCGCTGCCCCGGTGCGATCTCCCGCGGCCCACCGAGGGCAGGTTCCAGACCCTCGGCGTCGTGCAGACCAACGTGCCCGGGAGGAGGGGCGGTCTTTTTGCTCGGAGGACGCGTCCGGTAGGTTCGTGTCGTGTCGACCGGCGACGGCCCTGCCGCCAGCATTCAACGTCGACCGGCGGCGGCGGCCCAGAATCGGTCGATGCGTTGAGCGGTCGGATGTTGCGGAAACGGCCGATCCTTCAAGGTTGAACGATCCCCGCGGTGTCAGGAATCAACGTCCAGGTCGACACGACACGAGCCTGCCGCAAGAGGGGGGGGCGATAGGTGGGGGGTCAGCGAGGGCTGCCGAGAAGGGTCCCTCAGAGCCCCTGACGGGGCCCTGCAGAGCCCAGAAGGGAGCCTTCAGGGCCCGAAAAGGGCACCTCTCTCTCCCCCCCTCGTGGTCATTCGCGCCCCACCTGTTCGGGGGGCGGGGGTCCGGCTGGGGCCAGTCAGCCTGGAGTGGGCCGTGGCATCCGGGCGCCGTGCAACAGATCACGGCTGGCGGCGCCGACCCCGATGTCTCGTTCCGCGGGGCCCCCGCGGGCCGCTGCGCCCGGAGAGGTCCGACCTGAGGAGGGGGTCGGGAGCAGGTCGAGGTTCATCCACGGAGCGGACATGGGAGTCAATTTTAGGCGTGTCAATGGCCTCTCGCCGGAGTGGCTGCTGGTGCGGGCCCACTGGGGTCACCCCATCGCCGAGCGCGAGGCGGTAGTGGCGTCTTGCGCGTTTGTTGTTGGCCCCCCCGCACCAAAGCTCACTCTAACCTAGGGTCACTCTTGCGCGTAGCCGAGGGAAGGATGAGAAGGAGGGAGAGCCCTTTTCCATCCCACTCCCCCGCAGGGACGGGGGAGGGAAAAGGGAGGATTGGGAAAAGGGAAGGGAGGGACTCCCTGACCAGACCGAGTAGGAGAGGGAGATCTAGGCGTTCTAGTTTTTCCTCGAGGGGGGAATCCATTGGGAACTGCCTCCTTTGTGGTCTGGCTAGGGTCCCCCGCCTCCTGAGAGAAGGAAGAGGACGGGGAGAAAGAGGGGTGCGACAAGGCGGGGAGGGGAGGAGGGAAGGAGGGGGGCTGGGGCGGGTTGCGGCGGGAGGGAGAGGGAGAGACCTTCAAGGGACCGACGTCGCAAGATACGAGTTTGGTATCGCCCCACCGTGTGCACTGGCAGCGCCCCTCCTCCCCCTCCCCTCACGTCTCCCATCATCTCCTCTTCTCCGTGTTCGGTCTCATGGGCCCATTCTCTGGCCCCTTCGATCTCAGTCCGGGGATCTCGCCTGGACAGAGCCAGCAGGCAGCAACACATCTGTCTCCAGGGGTTCCATTGTCATCGAGGGTATCAATGATGGCCTGGTGTCGGAATGGAACGACAACGCCAACATGAAGGGAGACCTGTCCAAGATAGTTCGGGTAGGTGACCGCATCGTTGCAATCAACGGCGTCTTCGGCAATGCGGAGATGATGATCCTTGAGACGCGGCAGTCTCAGGAGATGACTCTGGTCATCCGCAGAGACCTGACAAAGGACGGACGGGGCTAGGACGAGGATCAACCCGCTCCACAGCGTTCCGGAGCGCTCTGAGACGGCCGCAGCGCCCGATACGTCCTCTGGAGCTGCCGGATCTGAGCGGTTCTCGATTCGTTGCTCACCCGATGTCGTCCTCGTCCTGGCCTCGTCTTCCAAGGAGAAGGAGTCCCTCAACTCGCTGCTGAGCTTTGCTCGCTCGGTGAAGCAGGAATCGGGGCTGGACAGAACCCCCAACAGTGACACGTCGATTAGTGAATTGTCCGTTTTCGGCTCTCGAGAGGGCGCCGTGGCCGTTATTTTCCAGGCTTGCGCCCGCCGGGTTTGGGCCCGAGGTCGTTTTCACTAAACCACGTTTTGCTAAAGGGGGTTCTGTCCATCCCCGAAGGAAGCAGCAGCGCAGGCGCCCAGCACTCAGGAGCGAGCGCCCGCGGGGGGGGGGGAGGCGGGCGGGCGGGGGGGCAGGACGGCCGCACCGGGCCCTCGCTCGGCGGGCGCGGTCCACGGCTCGCAGAGTGCCTGCGCGCAGACGTCCGAGAAGGGATGCGTTCCTCGGCGTACACCCCAGGCGATGTTTAAGAAAGCCCAAATTTTCGGCCAGAGTCTCGATTATTCTTAATGTTTTAAAGTAAATCCTAAGATTTGAATAGACATTCTGGGTTTTTGTTCAAGTTCTGAGACTATGAATTTCTTAACCCATGATTTCTAAAGCATTTCGCAGGGTGTGGCCCGGGGGCGGCAGAGAGGGGGCTGATGGCCAGGGGCTAGGGGGGAGGGTTAGACATCATGGCGGGGGGGCCATGGCATCTCCCCAGATGTCACGGCGCCTCTTGCTTATTTCATCACGTCCCTCCCTTGGACCGCGCACATGCCGCCGGCCATGATTTGCCCCCCCCTTCTTGGACGCCCCCCTCATGGCCGCCCCCGAGTAACGTATCACGCGTCGTAAATCCCCCGCGGCGGGTTCAGGCCATTTGCGAGTAACTGCTCTGCGAGTAGTGGAGCGCGCCTAACAACTCGCACCTTTGCTGCAGCACGTCCTGGACCATGGGCGGTGTCCAGTGCGTGCGGAGACGGCCTCGGCGTTAGGGGTCTTGGCTGGTGTCGGCCGTCTCCCGCCCGCCGTCCCGTCTTCCTTCCCTGTTCGTATGCAGAGGGACCGATGTATAGGTCCGAGGTCGGTTCCGGGAGGGTGCCTTGATGATCTTCGTGCTTGCTGGATGTTCTTGTGCACTCTGGGGGAGGGTACCCTCGGATGCTCTTCTTTTTGGCCGGCGGAGGGTCTCGTATTCTTGAACGATGTTTTTTTTCTGTCTTAGGTCCGACTGTCTGCTCGCACCCTGCCACCACCTCGCATGTTCGTGGCCGCCGGATCCAGGGCCACCCGGGCTACTTGATGATCTGAGGGGCCGCTTTCCATCTGGACCCTGTGGTGCCGTCCCCGTTGCAAAATGCGTGGACTGCCTGGGGCGGACGGCGCACCTCGCGCGAAAGGCCGGAGCGTCGCGCTCGCCTCGGGGAGGAGGAGGAGGAGGAGGAGGAGGAGGAGGAGGAGGAGGAGGAGGAGGATCGAGGAGGAGGAGGAGGAGGAGGAGGAGGAGGAGAGGGAGAAGAGGAGGAGCCGTTGGGGCGCGCAGGGCGCGCACCGTTCGCGCGCCACGCCTCCTCGGCACCGCGCAGATCTCGCCCGAGAGTGGCGCTGCCGCTTCGGCGCGGCGCCGCTCCTCCTCCTCCTCCTCCTCCTCCTCCTCCTTCTCCTCCTCCTCCTCCTCCTCCTCCTCCTCCTCCTCCGCGTCGCCGCTCGCCGTGTGGGAGCCGCGCGCGAGCGGGCGGCCCGTCGCCCTCGCCCAGGCTCCGAGCGCGCGCAGTTCGCGCTCGGCAGCCGCGTGCGAGCGCCGGGATGCGGCGCACGCCATGTGTCGACTGGGCGTAGGAGTGACCCTTCGCCGGAGGGACCTTTGGTGCGCGCTCCCCGGGGTCCCCCGACCGCCGCGCTCGCTGTGACATCAGCGTCTTGCGCGCTCGTGTTTGGCCTCCTCGCGCCCCCCAGAAAGCCGCGCACCAGAGCTCACTCTTACCCAGGGTCACGCTTGCGTGCAGCCGACATGTTGGCCGAGTGGCTTGGACATTGCCTTGGCATCGCTCGGACGTGTGCGTTGTTCTCGGCGAGAACCATCGAGGACCATCCTGGAGCATCGAGCAAAAAAACACGCACGAAACCGACACATGCACGGGAAATGGACGTCCGAGCGACGGCAAGTTGCCGACGTGCCGAGCTCGGCCCAAGCGCCGCACAGTTGGCGAGTGACAGTGGCCGTGCCGTATCGGCGCGGCGGATGCGTCGCCTTCGCCGCGCGCGTCGGTTTCCTCTCTGCCCCCGCCCTTGCGCGCGACCCGCGCCAGGTCGTCGGAAGCGTCGCCGCGTGCCAGCGTCTTCCACAATCGCGTTCCAATCCGAATGTCAGGGTGTGCCGCAATCTTCGGCCCATCCCGCCTCCGTGCCTGGGTTGTGGGTCAGACTTCTCAGGGATGCTTCTTGGGGTCTCTTCGGAACGCTCTCGGGGGCCTCTGGGGGGCAGTTTGGGAGCCTCTTTGGCGTCTCTGGGGGGGCCTCTTGGGGGTCCCTTGGGGCCTCTTGGGGGCCCTTTGGGGGCCTCTTGGGGCATCCTGGGGGGCCTCGGGGCCGATCTTGGGCGCCTCTTGGGCAGTTTTAGGGTCCTCCCTGGACCGTTTTGGAGCCTTGGAAGCCTCTTAGGCCGAATTGGGGTGATTTTGTGGGCCTTTAGGGCCGTTTGGGAGCGTCGGGAAGCCGAAAACACGAGAATGCCAATAACCTCCAAACACCTAAGGAAAATTAATGATCTTACCCTCTTGAGCGTCTAGGGCGATCGTTCGGCGACTCGGGGCCCTATTGGACCGCCTTCGGGACCTCTTGGGGCCCTCTTGGCTTGTTTTGGTACGCTCCTGGGCCCGAAAGTCACGCAGGGAGATGCGCCAGTCATACGGGAAGCCACATCAAGCCCAAAGAGATGTGTGAATTCGGGGCCCGGGCCTTTTCAGAACCCTCAGGATCGAGGATTGAGGCTCAGGGGACGAGGCAATGGACCTGCGGATACGCCAACCCCGTGCCCAGCGTCACTCTGGCGGATTACTGTATGGGAAGGGGAGAAAAGGTGGAACCTTCTGACTCGCTCGACCTGGCTAGTTTGACCTCTCTTCCTCATTTCCCCTATGGTTCTTCCCTTTCCTCCATCACTTCCATCCATCATTCTCCCCCCTCCCTGCCCTCTTGGGGCTCTGCTGGAGCTGGAGTTCTGAAGAAACCTGCTCTGTGGCAGTGAGCCCTGAGTCGGGTGAGAAAGCACGCAGTTTGAAAGCTAGATGGCTTTTACTGGTTTGGGCTTTTTCGAGTCACTCGTCTGCTCTCTGGGGTCCGCTCAGCGGTCTACTACTGTGTCTTCGAGACGTGCACCCACTTAGTCCAGACGGCCTGTCACCCATCGAGCCCGCAATTACCCACTACGACAGTGGCCACTCTGTTGATCTCTCGCCACTGCGCGCTGCGCCCTGCACTTTCGACCGGCCATCGGATTCGAAGCCCGCTCGTTTGCGGCACGATTTCCAACAGAGGATTGCGACGAACACGATTCGTGTTCAATTCAGGAGATTTCGCGGCACCAGGCCGCTCGTCAAGAGCTCGATCAAACATGTCGCGGACGACTCGCGCATTGTTCTACCTGCATGCTGCTGCTCGCGCGCAAGATTCCTTTCAATCACCATGCGGGGATCCGTGAGGGTTTGACGGCTTGTTGCTAGCCGACTTGTGGGGATCACGCTGGATGAATCAAGGTAATTGCAGACAAGTCGTGGTGATTCCCACCCACCAACACTTAGCACATCCAGGCAGATCCACGTAGATCCAGAGATCTCCAGGGAAATTCTGAGCAGATTGTGGCCGTTCCAGCGCACATCGAGGGCCAGCAGAAGGGGGTCGTCCCGGAAGTCGGCGTCACCCAAACATTCGATTCCTTTGTGTGCATCATCCACGCAGGGGCAACGCGCGCGACAAGACATCTTGCAGTGCATGCTCCGCGGCGGGCGCCTTCTGGACAGACCCCTCGGGAAACTCTGTACTGTAGGATGCTCACACGGCATGTCAAGTTCGGACGTTCGCCTCCAGCAGAGGCACCAGGTACCGGTGTGCCCTTCTGCGTCCCAAGGGCCAAGTTCAACGCCGCGGCCACTCTGACCAGCGGCTCCCCAGCACGCGCCCTGGTCTCGGCCACGAACAACGGGGGGGATCTGGGGAGTGGGGAAGGCTGGGGGGCAAGGCTTCTTAGAAGCCCCCTGCTTAATGGAAAGAAGGCGCGTGCCTTGTCTGTAGATGCAGGGCCGGCGCCGTCTGAGAAGCAGCGCCTTGTCGCGGTTCGGTGTCGGCGATGGATTTCCTCCCTTTGCTGTGCAGAGCGCGCCAGGGACGGCGTTCAAGGCGCCGCCAGGGAGCGTCCAGCGTCGACACAACAAAATGTGGCGCGGACTTTCGACTGTCAATGTTTATGTTCCTTGTTGTTATATCACACGTGGCCTGAGAGCCAGGGTGCACTAATCAGTGCGTAATAGGCTGCACATGTCAATGAATCTGCGCGATGTTGTGCGCGCGACGTCTAGTCCTTACCCCTCCGCTGCACCTTATGCTCCTCATCATCATCTTGAGCTGCCCTGCAGGAGCCAGTGATCAAGGGCAAGAAGCCCGACCGCATTACGAAGGAGGTGGTGCGAGAGGCCAGGGAGTCTTTGGACCAGGGCCTCAAAGAGAAGGCGATGACGGAATGGTTCCTGAACAAGCAGGCGAAGGCGGAAGTAGGGCGCGAGTCCATTGACAAAGTGTCTCAGGATTCCACGTCTATCGACCCTCTCCGCTGGCCCCCCACCAGCCCCTTGCCTCTCATCGTCCTTCTGCCGAGCTGGCCGCCGCACTCGGTGATCCAAGCACGTCGGTGGCTGCCCGAAGGGGGTCCTGGCCCAACGAGTCCCCGGTGGCTCGCGCCGACTTGGAGGCCCCTTGTTTCCAGAGGCCGTCCAGGGCTCCGCGAACAGCTGTGGCCTCCCTGGGTCGGGCAGGCCGGGGGTGTCCGCGGTTCGGCCAGCTCGGTGGCGTCGTGATCGGTCGGGCTCGGTCGGGTCGGCCGCTGCCGCGCCGCTGCGCCGTTCTGGGCCGCGTGCGGCTCGGCGGGCCCGTGCGGGCTCCGTGGTCTCCCCGGCCGCCAGCTGGGGAGCTGGCGCTCCTATCTCGGAGGGGCCCCTCCTGGCCTGCCCCTGCTGGCCGACAGCCCTCCTCCTCCTCCTCCTCTTCCTCTTCCTCCTCCTCCTCCTCCGCCTCCTCCTCCTCCTCCTCCTCCCTCTCCTCCTCCTCCTCCCCCTCCTCCTCCTCCTTCTCCTCCTCCTCCTCCTCCTCCTCCTCCTCCTCCTCCTCCTCCTCCCCTCTCCTCCCCTCCTCCTCCTCCTCCTCCTCCTCCTCCTCCCCCTCCTCTCCTCCTCCTCCTCCTCCTCCTCCTCCTTCTCCTCCTCCTCCTCCCTCTCCTCCTCCCTCTCCTCCTCTCCTCCTCCTCCTCCTCCTCCTCCTCCTCCTCCTGCTCCCCGCTCGCCGCACCGTGCCCCTCCCGAGTGGGCCGCCTGGTGGGCGCCTGCACGTGCCTGCCTCCGGTCGTTCACGCCTGGTGGGCGGCCGGGGGGTCGCGTGAAGGGTGGCGGTGGCTGGCGCGCTATCGAAGGCCAGTAGCCTGAGGTCGGGCGTGTCCCTCTACTCTGTATCGCGTGTCCGACCCCCATCCCGGGGGTGCTCGTCGCCTTCCCCGTCGCGCCGCCCGGTGGGGGGGACCGCCCTCTGGGCATCGGGGGCCGCCCTCGGCGACGAGCCATCGAGGGGGAGGCACGGCTGCCAACGACTCGGTCGATACACTTCCATCGTGCCGGCGCTGCATGTGGCATCGGCGGGCCCCTGGGTAGCCCCTGGGGGCGCGAACATCCACGCGCTCCGCGCATCAGTATCGTTTATCCGACCCTTGTCCCCGTCCCCATCCCCTTTGAGACCCCCACCAAATTCCCCCCCCCCCCAGTTTGGGGCACACCCTCGGGGCCCGAAAGGGGCGGCCTATATCCCCATCTAGGAGGGTAAATCGGCCAGTTGGGCCCAGGCCACGCCGCTGGGGATGGGGATCGGTTAGACTCAAATGCGAGAGGAGTTTTCAAAGATAGTAAAACGATAGTCTGGGGACGATTATTCTGCCATTTTTGGCTATCGTTGATTATTTGTTAGGATATTTTGCATTTTTCCTCCAAAATCAGCCTGTAGGGGGACAGGCCCGACCCGACAGTATAGCCATGGCCACACCTGTCGGTCGCTTCCGCTATTCAAAAGAAATTCCTGGCCTAGATAATTGATGTCTTCAGCAGAGCGGGATCTACTTCCGCCAGGCTGGCACGCTTGGCCGTAGAAGTAGGCGCTGCAGAACAGGCGGCAGCACAGGCGCGTGCACGGCAGCCGACCGGACCGAAAGGGAAACAGACATCGGCCGAGCCCGCCAGGCCGCGCGCAGCCCAGAACGGCGCGTGCCTGTTTCCAGTCGCGCACATTTGCCTTGTTCCTGCATCCGTCAACCCCCTGTTGGCTGCTCCCCATCGCCACGCGCTCGGTGGTAATCTGCTCCACGTGTCCCGCTAGTGCCCCCGCTGCGTTGGACCAGCCGGCCGCGAAGCAAAAAGTGTGCGTGCGTTTGCTGTCGCCATGGACGGCTTTGGGCGTGTCCAGCAGGAAGATCGGAGCATCGTGCCCGAGCGCTGTGGAACCTTCTCAGGTCGTTCCGGAGTAATGACGCCCTCGGGGATTGCCTCGGTGCCCGCTTGATCTCCTTTGCCCGGCCCGTTGGGTCTCTGAGTTTCTCCGCTCTCGCCCCGGCTCCTCACCCTGCCCTCGTCTTGCAGGGCCACCTGTGACAGCGCCCGCGCAGGAGCAGACGGGGCTGGTACGAGGAGAATTCCTTTCCGGAGCGTTCCGGGACGCTGTGAGAAGGCCGCGAGGCCCGAGACGTCCTCCAGAGCCATGGGGTCTCAGAGATTTTCGGTTGATCTTTTTCCGTCCCCTAGACTCGTCCCGCGCCTAGCTCATTTTGCGCCCCTGTCCCCAGCCTCCCCCCCGCGCCTGGCTCGCACCACGGGGGCCGCTGGCGGCGAGGCCCAGGCATCCGGCAGGGCGCGCGTGGAGCAGCTCCAGCTCGGGCTTTGCCCGGGGCCCCCTCGGCCTCAAGGAGCAGCCCCGTGAGGACAACAGGGCCCCAGGGGGCGCCAAGATGCGACAGAGACTGGGCAACGCCGCGCGCGCACACAGGCACATACGCACCCGCACGCACACACAGACGCACACACAAACATACCCACGCAAACGCACACCCACACGAACACGCATACGCACACGCACACGCAAACACACGCGCACACACACACACGCACGCACATTCCCACACACGCACATGCACACGCACACACACACACACACGCACGCACGCACACACATATGCACACAAAGACACACACGCGCACGCACACAAGCACGCACACACACACACACACGCGCACACACGTAACACACATAGACCCACACACAAATTCAAACACAAACAAGCACAGACGCACATACACACACCCGCACTCACACAAACACACACGCACACGCACACACGCACACCCTCGCACGCACAGACACAAACACACGCACACGCACATACACACGCACACACACACGCACACGCACGCCAGCACACACACACACACGCACACACGCACACACGCACACACATACACACGCCCGTAGCCATTTTGGCTCAAGCCTGCCTTGGTGCCCAAGGCGGGCAGGAGCGCGGCGTGTCTCTCCCTGTAGAGTCCCGTCATCTCGGCGGGCACAGAGAGCGGCTCAGTCTCCTTCCCCCGCCTTGTCGCGGCCCCTGCCATGGCGGCGGGGTTCGGCATCAGCAAGGCTGGGTTCGGGGGGCTGCCCGTGGTGTGGCGGCCCAGCACGCGCCGCGCCCAGGACGAGGCGATCCTGGGCCCGACGGCGGCGAGACGTGCCGCCCGCCGCAGGTGTCAGCAGGCCTGTGAGGGCGCGCTGCGGAGCCTGCTGGCGGCGGCAGGTATGCCTGGATCATGGCAGGACCGCGAGCGGGCCGCCGGGCCCGCCCTGCGGCTGGCAGCGGCGGGCGCTCGCGTGCCAGGCAGCGCCAGGCGTCGCAGAAATGCGGCATGGCATGCTGCCGTGGCGCCAGCGGCGGGCTTTGCGCGGGCCTGCGATGCCGCCATCTCGGCGGCGGCGAGCGGCCCCAGGCTGGGCGTTCCTGCCCCTTCCACCCCTCCGGCAGCGCCGCGGCAGGTGGCGCCCACCACGCCCGCCAAGCTGCGGAAGGAGGCGCCGCCGTGGCCGGAGGGCTGGCAGGTGCAGAAGAGCGAAGGGAAGGGGCAGGGCGACGACGACGACGGGGACGAGACCTCCGAGCAGGCCATCGACGACGCGTACCGCGTGCTCGCCGAGGAGGGCCCCGAGGTCCAGGCCCCATGCGATCCTGGCGAGGAGGAGGGCACGTCGGCACTCCCGCAGCGGGCGGCCACGGTGGCCTTTGCGCTGCCTCGCTCTGTGCGGGCGGCCGTTGCCTTGCAGAGCGGCCCCGAGGAGGTCGAAGAGCGCGTCGGCAAGACGGAGGGCGAGGTCATGCTGTCGTTCGGCGTGGAGGTTCCCGCAGTTTGCGCGGCTGCGGACGTGGGCGGCATCTCGTGCGGTCTGCACGGGGACGAGAGCGCGGTTGCCTGCCAGGCAGCCCCCTGCGCGCGGATCGAGCTCAGGCAGGCCGAGATCGCCTTCGAGGTCGACTTCGACGGCCGCCTGATCACCGGCGCCCTCGTGACGACGGCGGCGAACTCCCAGGGCGTCCCAGTGCAAGTCTACGACTTGTTAGAGGACGGGTGCGTCGTAGTGCCTAGCACCCGCGCGCGGAGCAGGGCGCTGCCTGCCGCCTGGGTTGTTGCCGAAGCAGCGCGGTTGCAGCGGTTGGGTGCTTCTCAGCCCTTCGTGCACCGCCTTGCCGCTTGGGAGCGCGAGGCACTGGCCGATCAGCACCGCCTGCGCTGGCTCCTGGACGCTTGGTGGCGCATGGCCCCTCGTGAATGCTCCTCTCACGGCGCGGCCCTTGAAGAGCAGCTGACCAGGATGAACGAGGTGGTGTGCGCCGATGGCGACTTCGACGGCTCCTTCGGCATGGGCGTGGCGCAGCGGCCGTTCGAGCCGCAGGTGGCGCCCCCGCCGCCGCCGCCTCCGCTTCCGACTTCGCGTCCTCCTCCCTCCAGCTCTACCCGTGGCGGCGGCCGCCGCCCGCTCACGGCAGACGAGCGGCAGGGACTTGCTGAGCTGGAGGCTTACTTTACCGGGCACTTCAATCGACATCGCTGTTATGATGTATGGAGAGAGCAGCGCGAGTGCCAGCGGCGCGGATGGCCTCACAATCTGAGCCTCTGAGCCTCGCTTGCTTGCGCCGTCGCTGTTAGCAGTCGGTGCCGTGTTTAGGAGTCGCGTTGCGCTTCTGGAGGGCTGCGCAGGGTCTCAGGTTTTTGCCCCCCCCTCGGGGCCTGGAGCTAAAGGGGCCCGCCCGTGGGGCCCGGGGCTGGGCGAGGCCACGGAGGGCCCTCGACCCTTGCCCTAGGGCGCTGGCGGGCGCAGCCTCAGCACGGCAGCTCGGCGGAGGCAGGGCGCGCCCCCGAGACCGCTCGGCAGGCGGGCAACCCGTTCGGGGACCCTGCGCACGGGCCTGGCGAGGTGTAGACGCCCCAGGCTGACGATGCGCCAAAACACCAAAACACACACGCACACA